GTCTTTTCCCTGGATATTTCCTGTGTGGTCTCCCTGGATTCCAGGAGCCGCGGAGCGCGGATGCAGGAACTGCTGGAAAATGAGAAATAAATCAGAAATAAATTAGAAATATTAACTATAGAATTAGTACAAAATATTTATGATACTGTTGTTTATTGACAGGACGTATCGATGATGCTTTAACTCCTCCTAACTCCGGCGTCTCCCGCTTTTCCCAGCAGGTGCTGGGAGCCCTCTCACTGTCCCGTGCCTGTCCCGTGCCTGTCCCGGCGCGGTGCCGCGGCCCTGAGTCACTTCCCTCGGCCGGGAATGGCCCGGGAATGGCTCGGGAATGACTCTGGGACGGGGAATGTGCCCGCGGTGCCCCCAGGGCCCTCCCGCTGCTCCTCTCCCGCTTTTCCTGCCCCGACCGAACCTCCGGCCCTCTGCCGGCAGAATTCCTCATTGTCCAGCCTGGATCCAGGGGATCCTCACGGCAAAAGGATTCCCCGTTCCTGCTTTTCCAGCCTGGATCCAGGAGATCCCACTTCCAGGGATTCTTTCCCCCCTTTATTCAGGGAAATAAGTCGGAAAATCCTCCATGGATTTTTTATTTTTATATTTATAATTTTTTTAGATTTAATTTTGGAGCTTCAGGGGTGATTCCCCATCTCCTTTTCTCCCTCCTTCCCTTTTATTTTAAAAAAGAATATTTACAAAGCCATGGAAATGAAGCAATATTACCTCGTTAGCTGTAATTGGGATAATTATCATATTTTATGAATATTCATGGCATTTTTCACCTCCTACCTTTACAAATATTTGCATTTTGAGGCAGTCTTGATTTAAAATAAAGAAAAATCCAATAAAACCAATCCATGTTTTGTGTATAATTTGCAACTTCCAGTACTAAAAAAGTTTAGGGAAGACATCCAAAACCTCCAGGAATGTTTTCCATGATAATTTAAGCAGAAAAACAGATTTTCCTCAAAATAAAGGTGAGGACCTCATTGTCCAAATGAGGCCTCTGAGGTTTTTTATTTATGTTTTGTCAGAAAAAAAAACCCTGAGGGAATTCAGGAGCTGGCTTGGAAATGCCAAATTTAAATGGATTTGTGCTCCAAGGAATGAGGAAAATTCTGGGATTGCGGAAGGAGCTGCTCCTCATCCGCATGCAAAATAACAAGGGGTTAAAAGGGGAAATAAACCACATGAAAGGAGATTTGTAGAGGAAATAAACCACATTAAAAGGAGATTTTTAGGGCAAATAAATCACATGAAAGGAGATTCGTAGGGGGAAATAAATCACAGAAGAAGGGGATTTGTAGGGGGAAATAAGCCACAGAAGAAGGAGATTTTTAGGGGAAATGAACCACAGAAGAAGGAGATTTTTAGGGAGAATAAACCATACGGTTTCCTTTATGGAATTGTGGAATGGTTTGGGTGGGATCCTGAATCCCATCCAGTCCCACCCCTTTCCCTGGGCAGGGACACCTCCCCCTGTCCCAGGTTGCTCCAGGCTGGGCTCGGGCACTGCCAGGGATGGGGCAGCCACATCCGGCACAGCTGTTTTTCCCGATTTTCCCGTTTTTCCCGAATTCCCGGGGTTTTGGGGCGCGCAGGCCTCGACCCCGCCGCCTCCTCCCTCCCGCCGCGTCAGCGTTGCCAGGCAACTCCTAAAATGGCGGCGCGCGCGCGGGGCACGCCGGGAGTTGTAGTGCGGATACCCTACCGCCCCCGCGCCCCGCCGGCAGCGCGGGACTCGCTTTCCTAGCAGGCACCGCGGCGCCGCGGGAAAAAGCTGAGAGAGCGTATTTACCTGCGGGGAGTGGGGTACAGGTGGGGCGCGCCGCGGGTGCTGTTGGGATTTGTAGTTTTTGGCGGAGCGGCCGCTAGGCGAAGCGGCGAGGCGGGCGTGGCCGCGGGACTACAGCTCCCAGGGTGGCGCGGGGCGCAGCGGGCTGGGCGCCGGTGGAGGGCGGGGGGTACGAACGGGAACCTCGGCGGTGGCGGGGGGATGCTCGGGGGAGCCCGCAGGTGAGGAGGAGGAGGAGGAGGAGGAGGAGGAGGAAGCGGGAGGGAGAACGGGCGGCGAGTGCCGGGGCGAGCGGCGAGCCCTGGGTGGGGCTCCATTGTTCGCGGTGGGCAGCGGTTCCTCATGGAGTCACCGAGTTCTGCAGGGAGATCGACACCAGCGGGGTCGGAAGGGTTTGGCTTTGGGATTAAAAAGCTTTAGGATTAAAAGGCTTTGGGATTAAAAGTCGCCCCTTGTTCCTGCTCCTTGTCCAGCGCTTTTGGGGCCAGCTGCGTTTGGAAAGGAATTCTCTACTTATCTCCCCCCGAAACTTTTATTTCCTAATAATTTAACTCGGTTGAAGAGGATTTTTTGCCGGTCTGAGCTTGTTGGGGTGATGGGTGTTTGGTGATATTATTTTGGTGTGTTTTGCCTGGCTGAGCTTCCCCCAAATGCTCATCCCAATAATAGGGGTTTTGGTGCACCGTTTAGGGATGAAAAACCCCAAATTTGCCATAGAAACATTGGGATTGCTGAGCCTGGAGAGGGGAAGCTTGGGGGCGACCTCGCTATGACCTTCCCGAGCTGCAGGAAGGGGAATGTTACAGGGGATGGAGTGACAGGACAAAGGGGGATTAATTCCAAGCTGCAAGGAGTGGGTTTAGGTTGGGTTTTGGGCAGAATTCCCTCGCTGTGAGGCTGCTGGGACCCTGGCACTGGTTATCCCAAGGATATCCCATCCCTGGGATGCCCCAAGCCAGGCTGGACAGGCTTGGAGCCACCGGGGGCACAGCAAGGTGACACTGAAAGCCCTTTAAATCCCTCCCAGCCCGTTCCCTTATCCCATTCCTAAAACACTTTTCCCTGTGGAGTTTTCACTTCTCCTTCCCAAAACCACTTTTCTCTGTGGAATATTCACTTTTCCCTGTGGAATATGAATTTCTTCTTCCCAAACCACTTCTCCCTGTGGAATATTTGCTTTTTCCCTGTGGAATATTCATCTCTCCTCCTGATTTTTCGTGCTGCAGCGAGTGCTGTAAGAGCAGGAGGTGTCCCGGCAGTGAATATGAATGAATGTTTGCTCAAGGCAGGCGTGGAGCAGCTTTTGCAGCAAGGCCTGGCTTAAGGTGGCTCTGATTAAACCCGGCTTTTAATTGCCGAGCGCTGTTACAAAACCGCAGCCGTGGAAAGGGCAGGACTGAGCTCGGCCCCGAGCTGGAAAAACGAGTCCTGCTGCAGCTGGGATTGATGAAAGATCGTTTTGTGAAACCTCTGCAGGTCCCTGGTGCGATGAGCAGCACGGCAGCAGCCCCGGGGCTCTGCTGGCAGCTGGGCAAGGTGCGCGGGGCTCCCGGGAGCCTGCAGGTGAGTGGCACTTGCAGCTCTTAACCCTTCCATTGCCTTCTGGTTTATCATTTCAGTGTTTGTAACCCTTCCATTGCCTTCTGGTTTATCATTTCAGTGTTTATAGCCCTTCCATTCCCTTCTGGTTTATCATTTCAGTGTTTGTAGCCCTTCCATGCTTCTCTGGTTTATCATTTCAGTGTTTAAAACCCTTCCGTTCTTCTCTCAGTTTTATAATTTCATCTTTTAAAACCCTTCTGTTCTTCTCTGGTTTATCATTTCAGTGTTTAAAACCCTTCCGTTCTTCTCTCAGTTTTATAATTTCATCTTTTAAAACCCTTCCGTTCTTCTCTCAGTTTTATCATTTCATTGGGATTTTACCATGGCCAACTTTTCTCCTCAGTTTTTTAATTTCAACTTTTAAAACTCTTCCATTCTTCCCTCAATTTTATAATTTCAATGTCTAAAACCCTTTTATTTTTCTCCTCAGTTTTATCATTTCAGTGTTTAAAACCTGCTTTTCCAACCCTAGTTCCTCTCTCAGCTTTATAATTACAACTTTTCTCATCAGTCTTATAATTTCAACTTTTAAAACCTCTCTGATTCTGCTCTATTTTATCATTTCAGCCTTTCCAACCCTTGATTCTTCTCTCAGCTTTATAATTTCAATGTTTAAAACCCTTTAATTCTTCTCTCAGTTTTATAGTTTCAGCTTTTCTCCTCAGTTTTACCATTTCAGCTTTTCCAGCTGAACCTCTCTGCTCGTGCTCCAGCTTTATTATCCCTTCAGAATCAAGCAGCTTTTGGGTGTGATGTGGTTTCAACCCCAGGGAATTGTGAAACCACCTGGATTTCAGGCACACTTTCTCTGCACTTCCATCCTTTCCCAGCTGCTGAATAATTCCCAAGCTCCAGCAAGAAAAACGCTGATAATGCAGCAGAAAAAGTGGAAACTGTGGAGATAACGCAAACATTTTGCTGGCAGGAGTGGGAGGGAAGCCCTCGGTGTTCCTGAGTTGTTTGTGTTGCTTTTGAGGCACAGCAAGAGGCAGAATTCCCTGTGGGATTCACTCCCATGGATCCGAGCTGGCAGAGGTTTGGGATTTGTTCCAGGCCTGACACCCGGGCTGTGAAATCCGTGTTGGAATCCTGAAATCTGCCTGCCCCAAACTGAGCTGGCAGGGAAATCCTGAGCGAAAAAGATCTTCTAATTCAGGCAGAGGCTTCATATTTATATTTATATATATATATAATTTATTTTTTTCCAAATCCACATAGAAAATGCTGCCAAACATGGAACAGGTTTTTGGGCAAATTTATTTTGCAGTGGGTGTTTGATCCTGAGGAAATTTGTCAGTTTTGGGATGGCTTGGAAGGAAATAAGTAGGAATAAAGTCATTTTTAAGATTAAGTGAAAATCAAGTTAAAAATACCAAATATGTTAAGTGTTTAGAAGCTCTGAAGCAGATTTTGAGCTCGGCTTTCCTTCCAAACTGGTTCAATAAAAAAGCCCAGCAGCTCCAGATCCATCGAATGTTTCCAGATTCTCTCTGGCCGATGGAAATAAAAATTACTGGCTGATGGAAATAAAAATGATCGATCAGAGGCTGGGATGGCTGCGGGGCTGGGTCAGAATCCTCGGTGTCCCGATGTGTTCCAGGGATGGGAATCCCGGCAGGACTGAGCTGAGGGAGCTGCGGCCTTCAGCTCCAGGACCCAGCGCTTCCCAGTGGCTTTTCCACCCAAACTTCCCCTTTGTTATGACCTGTTCCTCACGGCTGTTCTTCTAGGTAAGAGCAATCGATTTTTAAATAATAATTTCGTTTTAGTATGGTTTTTAAAATCAATAATCCTTCGTCAACTGTATTTTCTTACTCTTTGAATAAGCAGGTATTGACAAAAATCTAAATAATAATTTAATTTTATTATGGTTTTGTAATCAATAATCCTTTTTCATCTGTGTTTTCTTATTCTTTGAATATTCAGATATTGACAAAAATCTAAATAGTTTAATTTTATTATATTTTATAATAAATAATCCTTTTTTCATCTGTGTTTCCTTACTCTTCCCACCCCCTTTTTTTCTCCTCTTTTTTCCCTAAACTTCTTTAAAGGGAAGCAGACTTCCAGTGTCATTAATAAATAATTTGAATTTTTTCCCAAATTTTCTCCAGATCTGTGTTTTCCCTGGGAATGGAGGTGCCCTTCGTGCTGCTCCTGACCAGGCTCATGGCAGAAGTTGCAGGAAAATCCACGGAAAACTCAGTGGGTGCTCCAGGAATTTGATTTAATTTTTGTTATTATTAATTTTTTTTATTTTATTTTTTATCCCAAATTTTCTATATTTTTATTTAGAAACTAAAAATCAAATGGATTTAGAAAAAAAAATAAAATTGATTTCTAACAGCAAAATAAAATAGATTTTTAAAAATAAAATTTATATCTAAAATAAAAATAAAATGGATTTAGAAAAATAAAATTGATTCATAAAATAAAAATAAAATTAAAAATAAACCAAGTTTTCTCCTTCTTGCTGGAAAAAAAAAAAATCCAGTGGGTTTTAGGTGTATTATCCCTTAATTTCTGTGGAGATTTTAAATTTAGTTTTTATATTTATTATCATTTCCTCGGTGGAAAAGTGGGAATTCCTTGGGAATTTCTCTCCTCAGGTGCCAGACCCAGAATGTTGCGTGGAAATGTTGGATTCCAACAGCTCCTGCCCAGTCACCCAGCAGTGCAGCCCAGGTAGGAATTATTTGGGATCAGTCCGAGGAATTTGGGTTGGAAAAGCCCTCAAAGGTCATTTATGCCATGGGCAGAGACCCAGCTGGCCTTGGGAACTGCAGGGAACAAAAATTCCCAGATTTTCTGCACTTTAATACCGAAATCCAGCAGCTGGGGAGTGCTAATTCATTCATTAATTAAGTAATATTATTTCCTCATAATTCCTCCTCCTTTTTCCCTTTGGGAAATTTTTGGTTTTCCTGGGATAAAAACGGAGTAACAATTAGGAATAAAATTTGAGGACAAAACCTCTTTATTGTGGGCAAAGGGGAATCAGGTGCTGTTTGTAACCCCCAAAAAAGGGAATTTCTGCTTTTTTCCCCTCTAAACCCTGGGAATTGCCCGAAGATTGGGAATTTTGTTGGTTTATCCATTTTCCATGGTTTTTGGCAGGATGCTACAGGAGGTGGAATGAGGACGGGAGCAGCAGCTGCATCAAGTGCAGGAACGAGACCCTGCCCAGCCCCTCTGGGCACAACCTCAGCGAGTGCAGGAACTGTGAGTTTTTCACCCATTTTTGTCAAATGTATTTAATTACATTCATTGGAATTAATTGGAATATTTTTTCGAAATCAGTTGGTATCAGTGACTGCAAAAACTCCACCAAAAGGCAGCAAAAAAATGGAGATTTTTATTCCGCATCCTGGAATTAATTTGAATTTAATGTAATTAATTTTTGGTGTAAATTTTCTGGTTTTTTCCCCAGCTGGGAGCAGAGGGATGAACTCCCACGTGAACATGAGCTCTCCTTTCATCCAGAATTTTGGTGAGAACCTGGAATTTTGGGAGGATTTGGGGTCCGAAAGAAGGGATTTGATGAGTTAAATCTGTTAAAATTAGCTTTAAAAGGGATTTGAGGAGTTTAAAAGGGAATTTAATGAGTCTAAAAGCAATTGAATTTGTTAAAATTATTTTAAAAAGTGATTTATTGAGTTTAAAAAGGGATTTAATGAATTAAAAGGGATTAAATTTGTTAAAATGAGTTTCTAAAGGGATTTTATGAGTTAAAAGTGTTTGAATTTGTTAAAATTAGTTTTAAAAGTGATTTAATGTCAAAACTGATTTAATTGATTAAAATTTGTTCAAACTGATTGAATCCCTGGCAGCTGCCATTGAAACGGAAACTCAATTTCAGGCACTGGGATGATCCAACAGCACCTAAAAATCAGAATTTGCTCTTTATTTGGATTTAATCCTTTGATAAAAAGAGATTTTTGGTTAAAACCAGATTTTCTCTCTTTTTTGATCATTTTTTCATTTCCAGGGGGCCCCGAAGTCGCCGCCTCTCTGATTCTGGGGACGTTTTTCCTCAGTTTATTCCTGATCCTTTCTGTGGCTTCTTTCTTCTACCTCAAACGAGCCAACAAACTCCCAAAGATTTTCTACAGAAGGAACAAAGGTAAAAAATCCCTTTAATTGTCCATTAATTAATGAATTTCGCTCTGTTAATTGACCGAAATGGAGATTTTTCCTTGAAAATTCCCCATTCTGTGGAGAAAATCCCCATTTTGTGCCAATAAATTCTCCAGTCTTGAGAGTCCTATACCAAATAAATTCTCCAAATGGGATTTTTGAATATTTTGGTTGGATTTTGAGGCAAAATTCCTTTTTTTAACATGAAATTATTCCCTTCATGGCTGTATTTTTGGAAAATGAACAATTCCAGCCTCCACATTAATTAAAATAATGTTAATTAATCTTTTTTTTCCTTCTTTTTTAGCATCTGTTCTCCAGCCCAGTGAAACAGTGAGTGAATTCTGCTTTTATAAGAACATTAAACAAATGATAATTTCCATTTTAATTAACTAAATTGGGACTTTATTAAGCAACTCCTTAATTGATGAATGAGGCTGAAATAAAATTAAAGATATTTTGGCGTTCTTTGAATCCAAACTGGGACAAAAATGGAAAAACAGAGTTATTTTTCCAAGAAAAAACTCTGTACACAGTGAAAATTATAGTAATCCTAAAAAATTCCTATATTTTTTTAAAGAAGAACTGTTAAAATTTGGGGTTTTTTGACATTGTCCTTCTGTTCCACAGGCATCCATGATCTCTCCTCCAGCTTCTTCAGGTGAGGAAGTTTCCCCTGGAATGTGCTAAAAATAAAGGGAAAATCCCAAAAATTCCCAGGATAAGGAACAGAAATCAGTGGGATTTGATTTTTCTAATGGGATTTGTTGCTTTAATTCATGCAGGGCAAAATATTGATGGGATTTCTGGTGGGAAATCCATTTTTGGGGTTCTGGTTGGGTTTTGTGGGGTTGGGATTGGGTTTTGTGGGTTTTGGTTGGGTTTTGGGACTGGGTTTTGTGGGTTTGGGGTTGGGTTTTGTGGGTCCAGCTTTGGGTTGGGAGTTGAGTTTTGTGGGCTTAGTTTGGGGAGTGGGTTTTGGGGATTTAGGCTTGGTTTTGTGGTTGGGTTTTGTGGGATTAAAAACCACAAAACACAACACCAACCCCAAACCCTCCCACAACTCAATCCCCACATCCCACCCCCTCCTCCCTTTGGGATTTCCCTCCCCAATCCCATTCCCAGGGGTGTTTTTGTGCTGTTTTGTCCCGGCAGTGCGGAAGCTGCGCTCAAACCCAACCCAGCACCCAACCCCATACCCAAATCACAACCCCAAAACCCAGCCCAGACCCCAAACCCCACTGCACTTCAATCCCCACATCCCACCCCTCTCCTCCTTTGGGAATTCCCTGTGGGACCCCATTCCCAGGGGTGTTTTTGGGCCGTTTTGTCCCGGCAGTGCGGAAGCCGCGCTAAAACGCAAACCTACAAAACCCAACCCCAAACTCAAATCCCAAACCAGAACCCAGCCCCAAACCCCACTGCACTTCAATCCCCACATCCCACCCCTCTCTCCCTTTGGGAATTCCCTGTGGGACCCCATTCCCAGGGGTGTTTTTGGGCCGTTTTGTCCCGGCAGTGCGGAAGCCGCGCTACGTCCGCCGCGAGCGCGCCCCGGTCCCGCCCGGCGCCGCCGACAGCCGGGTCAGCAACGTGTGAGCCCGAGCCCGGAGCGTCCCCAGGCCACCCCTGGGAGCTGCTGATCCCAAGGAGCCCCAGAGGGTTTGTGCTGAATCCCTGGGAGCTGCTGGTCCCAAGGAGCCCCAGAGGGTTTGTGCTGAATCCCTGGGAGCTGCTGGTCCCAAGGAGCCCCAGAGGGTTTGTGCTGAATCCCTGGGAGCTGCTGGTCCCAAGGAGCCCCAGAGGGTTTGTGCTGAATCCCTGGGAGCTGCTGGTCCCAAGGAGCCCCAGAGGGTTTGTGCCAGATCCCACAGGAACCCCAAAGGGTTTGTGCCAGATCTCACCCCCAGCTCACGGCAGTGCCGGCCCGGGGACATTTGGGGGCTTTGGAGGGTCCTGGTGCTGCTCCGGGGTTCCTGTCCTAGGATGGGGGAGTTCCTGAAGGATTTGGCGGATTTTTGGTGTTTGGGGAGAATTCCTGAGGGATCTGGGGACTTGTGGACAGAATCCTTCAGGAATTTGGTGACTTCCCTTGGGATGTGACCCCAGAACTGGAGCTGGGATTTGGGATGTGGATCCATTCCGGGCTGGACACTTGGCAAAGGGATCCTCTCAAGTGCCACTGCTTTAACCTGGGACAGCAATTAATTATGCTAATTAATTATGCTAACTAACCATGCTAATTAATTATGACAATAATTAAGATGCAGAATCCTTCGGAAGCAAATCCCAGATCCCACTGGGAGCTCTCCTGGTGCTCAATCCAGGCCTGATCCCAAATCTTGGGATTTTTTGAGGAATTTTTCCAGCTCAGTCCTTGGATTAAATGTTCTCCAAGGGATAACCCATTCCTGGAATTGGGAATTCCTGCTTTTGGGGCACTCAGGGATTTTTGGGATGAGCCACAGGGATTGGGACAACTCCTGCCAGTGGAAAAATGGGATTTTGGTGTGGGAAATCCCTGGAATTTGAGCTCCAGAGGCATTCCCCAATTCCAGGCAGCCTCAGCTTCTCCCATGGATCTCATTCCTGCCTGAGGAATTTTGGGAAGCTCAACGAGCTGGAAAAGGATTTTTTTTCCTGGCTGGGACTCCCTCCTGCAGCTTTTCCATGCAGGCCTGAGGGTCCTAAATCTGTCCTAAATCCATGGGAAAGTCCTAAATCCATCCTAAATCCATGGAGAAGTCCTAAATCCGTCCTAAATCCATAGAATTTCACTGTCACCCCCTGGAATTCCAACTATTTTCCTCCTGGCTGGGCTGGTTCTGGGATCCATCCCAAACCCATCCCAAATCTATCCCAAATATCTGGAATTTCTCTGTCAGCCCTGAATTCCAACTCTTTTCCTCCTGGTTCCGGGATCCATCCCAAACCCATCCCAAATCCCTGGAATTTCTCTGTCAGCCCTGGACTCCAGCTCTGAGCATTCCCACAGAAATCCTTTGGCTCCTCAGCATTCCCTGCCAGGGATGGGAATGGGAACTTTGCTTCTCCCCTTTTTTCCCAAAATTTTTAATGGGAAAATGAGACCAGAACTCTTGGATCTGCCTCCCACCTGGAGAATCCACATTTCCCTGGGGTTCCAACCTTACAAGAGGACAATTTGGGATGGGAAGAAATCCATTTATCCCATGGAATAATCCCATTTTTTCTGGAAATTTTGGGGCAGATGGATTTGCTTTTATCTCCTTAAAAAACAATGAGGTTTTGGTGGAATTTTTATGGATAAAACCCAAACAATGGAGAGGCTCCTGTGCCAAAAAATTCCAAATTTTTCCTCTTTATTATGAGAAATAAAATTCTTTTCCTCCTGGCCAAGGAATTCCAGTTGAAATTCCCTTTTTTTGGGGTATTTGGGAAATTCCAACTTGGAATTTTGATAATTTCCATTTTTTTGTGCTGCTGAGATTTTTTTCCCTTCCCAAGTAGGAAGGTTTTATCCTGGAATTCAGAATTCCTGAGGATTTTCCAAATTCCTGAGGATTTTCTGGATTCCAAAGGGGGAAAAAAAAGGAGGAACTATGCAAATAATTCCAAGGAATTGCAACTCTGGAGCTGGGAATTCCTGTGTGTTAATTCCTGTCCTGCCTAATTGCTGAATTTTAATTTATTGAAGGATCAGCTCCTTTTTCTGTCTCTTCTCGTGTGGGATTTGCTTTAATTGTTGTCTAATAATGGGAGTTGTGACATTAAAAGTGGGGTTTGTGTAAACATCTAAAAATCTAATTCTGTGTGTGATTAAAATCAAGTTTTTCTCAGTGATTTTTACCCAAAATCCTGAAATTTTTACCCAGAAAATGTTGAAATCCCCAAATTTTTACTCATTTTTGGGGTGTGGTTCAGCTTTGTCATTGCTGTGAACTCCTGGTTGAGTTTGTGGGGTTTAGGTTTGGGTTTTGGGGTTGGGTTTTGTGGGTTTAGGTTTGGTTTTATGGGTTTAGTTTGGGTTTGGGGTTGAGCTTTGGGTTTAAGTTTGGGTTTTGTGGGTTTAATTTTGGGGTTTGGGGTTTGATTTTTTGAGTTTAGGTTTGGTTGGGGGTTGAATTTTGTGGGGTTTGGGTTTTGTAGGTTTAGGTTTGGGTTTGTGCTTGAGTTTGGTGGGTTTAGATTTGGATTTGAGGTTAAGGTTTGGGTTTCATTTGGGGCTTTGTGGTTCAATTTTGTGTGTTTAGTTTGGTTTTATGGGTTTAGTTTTGGGTTTGGGGTTGAGCTTTGTGGGGTTAGTTTTGGGTTTCAGCTTTGGTTCTGTGGGTTTAATTTTGAGTTTTCTGGGTTTCTCCTTCCTTTCCACCATCAAATTCCTTTTCCAAAGTGCTGCTTTGGATTGAAAACAATAAAATTGTGCTTTAAAACTCGGTTTTAACCCCCCGATATTTCCTGCATTTGTACCTTTGTAAACAGTGCCAAAATAAAGAGATTTAAACTTTTATTTTTTGGCTTTTCAGCTTTTTTGGGAGTCGATTAGAAAATCAAACAGGGGAAAAATGTTGGGAAAATGAATTTCCAAGCCTGTGCTGGCCCTCAGGGAGAGCTGAGCAGGGAAATCTCCTTAAATCCCAAAATTCCAGGAGCTGCAATTCCAGAGGCTGTGGAACTGGGAGAGCTTTAATTAGGAGTGAGCAATTAGCACGGGCTTAATTAAGATGTTTACATCGAGCAGGTAAAGCTGGGCTTTAATTCCCTTTTTCCCTCCCAATTCCCCACTGGGATTGGATTCAGGGTTTTGGGGTTGGGATTGGGGAAATTCGCACTGCAATTCCCAACTCCCCTTCCCAGGGATGTCATTCCCACTGTTGATTTTTGGCTGATTTCTTTGAATTCCATGGATTTCCTTTGAATTCAATGGATTTCTTTTGGATTTCCTTTGAATTTCATGGATTTCTATTGACTGTCCTTTAATTTCACAGATTTCCTTTCATTCCATGTATTTTTTAAAATTTTATTTCGTGGATTTCTTGTTAATTCCATCAATTTCTTTTCATTCCATCCCTGGACATCCCTGGAGCTGTGGCCACTGGGGGGAGTAGAAGGCAAAGAGAGTCCAGAGGAGTTGAACTGGGAGCTCAGTTTTCCAGTAATTCCCAGGAACAGGTGAATCCTCCTGAATCCCTGGGAAAAAACAGGTCACTAATTGCCTCTGGCTCAGCAATCCCAGGATTTTGCCTCTGGCTCAGCAATCCCAGGATTTTGGCCCAGGGCGTGGAGCTTTTCCCGCGCTTTTCCCGGGAATCCTGTGGATCTGCTCATCCCTGGAAAAAACCAGTTCGTTAATTGTGGCTGCCAGGCCGGGCTTTAATGAGCCGAGCCCAAGCTCTGCTATCTTATCTGGGCCTGATAAGCACCAAACGTTCCCGGGCGTTGCCAGAAATCCAATAAAAAATATTCAATTTTATGGGTCCTGATGAAAAGCTGCGCTCTGCTGGGGCTGTTTGCTCGGCCAGGACAAATCCAGCTCCAAAAAAATTCCTGGCAGAAGAAAAAAGTTTCCCCAAGGCTTAGAAAAACCTTTAAAAATATCTTTCATTTATCACAAAACTCTGAGTAAATGTTAAGAGCAGTGATAATTTGTATTTTGAGGGAATAATTCCCTTTTTCTCGGAATATCCTGATTATTATTTCTGTTATTAATAAATTCTTTATTACTCCATTATCAATATTTCATTTTTCTCTGAAATATCCTATTATTATTAAATTTTATTTATTATCCCATTATTATTATTATTACATTTTATTTATTTTTATTCCTTATTTATTAGTAGTATTCTTCCCTTTTTCTCTGGAATATCCTGATGATGATGATGATTATTATTATTACTACTATTATTATTGAATTTTATTTATTATTAATCCTTATTTATCATTATTATTCTTCCCTTTTTCTCTGGAATATTCTTACTTTTTCTCTATTTCCAGTTCACTATTGAGGATGGACACTTCCAATTTGGTGAATTCCACATTCACCATGGCGAGTATATAAAATAAAAATAACAAAACAGTAAAACTGACAGGAAAACAAGGAATTTTTGCTGCTTCCTCACCATGTCCAAGGCTTTTTTCCAGCTGTTTTTCCTGCTCCAACGACCCAGAGGCAATTAAAAAAGTCGGTTTTAATGAAGCTTTAATTGTGCAGGTGCTCAGCAGCTCCCAGAGTGGAAAAGGGCAGGTGCTGAGAGGGGAAAAAAAAGGGCTAAATTTGACTTTAACAAGGACAAACACCATAAAAACACCGGGATATTTGTGGTGGGGCTCAGCTGGCACTGCCAGCAAAAAAAAAAAAGGAGTTTTTCTACTGGGATTTGGGGTAGGAATAAACAAAATAAATCAATTTCTTATCTGGGAGGGAGCCTGAGAGTAAAAAACGGGGATGGGGTGCAAATGCTTCAAGTTTGGGATAGGATATTTTGATTTTTGGGGGGGATTTACTGTGGGTTTCTCACCACGGAGGAAAACATGCCTTAGAAATCCAATTTTTCATGGAATTCCTCACAGAATCCTGGAAAATCCCCACAAAAATCACCCAGTTCCATTTTCCTGCTGTGCTTTGTTCCAGGTCCTTCCTCAATTTCCTGTTGCCATGCGGGAAAATACTGGAAAAATTCATTTTACACTGAGTTATTTCCACCTCTGTTGGTTTAAAAGTTGTTTTTTTGAGGTGTCTGGGTGCAGTTTTGGGCCAATCCAAATTTTTTGGCTTCTTTTTGACTTCCTCAGGGAGCTGAGGGGATTTGGGCCTTTTTCCTTGGCCTGGAATTTTTAAAATTTCCTTTGTGCTTTAAAGTGAATTCTCCCAGTTTGTGAGGGGAATGTGCCTGAATTTCAAACCTCAGAGAGGTAAAAATATTAAAAATAA